CAGGTCCAACACAGAGTGGTTAAACCATATCGCAGAATGCTCCTTTTAAATGTTCTCCTGAAGTACTCTTGTAACATACATGTTTTAGAACATATTATCATAATGATTTTAATATTGTTTTTCAACAGAATAGCGCTACATACTACCTGCTGCTGTGTGGTTATGTCAGGGTAGCACTGACAGCCCACAGCTTATATAGGCACTCATGGTACTGTGAAGGTACTTCTGGATTTCCTGTATCCCTACGCACAGACAGTAATTGCTCAGACAGTAACCCTTATATAAACAGCAGCTTTCTCTGCAGGTTACTTGCTGGTTCTTCCTTTTTATCAGACACATTTAATGCTTGATTTTTTTATTAGAGATGTCTGAAAAAATTCTGTATAAAGTGAATTTGGACTTTATTCACAATTTCTTTGCTCAAATGGACAAATTCACAGTCAACAGAAGAAGTTTTTTAGAACTTCACAAAAAGAGGAGACGAATAATTCAAATGGCTCATCTCAGTCCTTATGAATGGAGTGTGAGACATGCACTTGGCAAGCCATATTTCATAAAGCCATCCCAGACAGGTTCTCTGGTCTGCTGACAGTCCATGCCTGTTGCTTTCCCCTTCATCATGTCAAAGGCAGAGGGAAGCCTGCCTTGTGTGCAGCAGGACATGAAGTAGATGCTACAAAGTGGGGCAGGGTGCCTCCAACTTGATTGTAGAAGGTTTTTTGTAATGCTTTTTTGAAACCAATTAGCTATTGGCACTACAGTACAGTTCCAATGTATGCTTAACCAGGTAGTTCCTCCACTGGCTACCTGCAGCACCCATCATCATGCCATTCAGGTGCAATCTCCCGGGCTGTCATCCTCTCCAGCATGGAGGGTGTGGAGTACTTAAATACATGTCAAATTCTTAAAATTTGATGAAAGCCAGCACTGCTTTCAAGGCGTTCTCCATATTCCTAAGGTTATTTTGCAAAACACATTAATGGACCTATTTTTAAACCAACATATTTTTAAAAGGTACTAGTTCATATGGCAAAAAACATGGCAGCAATAATCCCACTGCATGTCACTAGCCAGTTCCTGTTCAGTTAATATGAAGTCAATATAAAGTCAAAGATTTCAAAGGTATGATGAAGTGAGCTGCAAGTTGAAGTGATAAATATGGTCAATGGTGTGTGCACTCCTGAAGGAGGAGATACTGAAACACTTTCCTGCTTCTCTTGGCCGAAGCTATTATTAATGAAATGGGCATAGAAGAGAATCAGGGTGAATATTTGAGAAAATGCCTTGCTGTCAGAATTTGAAATATTTGACATGTTCAGTTTCTCAGAGAGCACATGAAGACTTGATTTAAAGAGCGATTTTCAAGAGACTTCACATAAAGAAAATTTCTGGTAGTTTAAAGCACTTAGTTTTGGTATATAACCCCTCTACAAAAGACAAAATGCCAAACAACCAACCCAAAACAAGAAACAATTGTTGAAATCTGGTCAGGCAAATCAAAATGGGACATAAGGCTATTGGCTTTATCAGAGAAGGCAGTCAACCACAGGGACCAAATGAACTGAGGGATTGCCTCCATTGCCTGAACTTCTGAATCATCTTGCACAGTTTTGGAGGATAACTATGGCCAACCCAAGTTACTTGGCTTAAAAAGGAATGTCTAGGTAATATTAGCCAGATAACTGAATGGCCTCTTCTGGAGAGATTCATCTTAACCTAATTTTAGATGTAGAGTGAGAAATCTAAGTACTAGCCAGCTACTCTGGACTCATTTTATAGTAAGTATAGAGGAAATGGTGATTCAGCTTAGCTACCTTAGATGCCCAGCTGAACATGGGATGAAACATCTTCAACTAATGCCTATTTCTCTACAATGACTATGGAAGGCACTTAAAAATTTGAGTCTTTAGTTCAGAGGCAGACATCCAGCTTTTAGATACCAAAACCAGGGCAGATGAATTTCACCTGAGTTTATTGAGCACTTAGCTGAAGTAGACTCTGAAGAGGAAAATTTAAGTCAACATTTACAATATATTTAGATTTTGATCACGGTTAGAAATTGAAGAGTAACCTGTCACTGTGTCCCTCAGGCATCAGCAGCAGGTAATGCTGATAAAAATCACTCAGAATGAATGGTGCTGTTCTGGAAGCTCCAAGGAAAGTAAAGTACTGCAATATGAGTGTGAATTGTATTACCATAATTGTTCAGTAACTTTACATGATGTGTTCCTGGCTTTTCAGTGAGGACAAAAAAACAGGTTTCTTGCTCTGAAGACTTTACAACTCAGTTTGGACCCTGATGTAACCAAAGGCAGTAAAGGAATAAAGAAAGAGAGGAGCTCTATGTGACAAGTGCCAGGAAAGCATATGCTTATCTTGCTGCCTCTACCTCCTCCCCTGATGCTGCTAGAACTGAGTGAGACCTAGGCTTAGGGATGACAGAAAGCCAAATTATGTTTTCCTGCATTGTCCTTTTGACTCAGAGTCACCACAGGACAGAACAGAAGTATTTAACTCCATGCCCCTGTGCAAAATGCAATGAAAGACAAAGTCATGAGAATCTATCTTGTTTCTGGGTGACATAAAGGTGCAAAACATTGATCAAGTACTTGATTTGACAAACTTTTTTTCAGCTTTTACATACGTTTCAATATGATGTGTATCTGTGCATGAAAAAGCAGCTGAAAGGCAAACAGGTGATGGTAGGGTTGGTGCTGTAACTTTGCATAAAATTATTTGGAAATTAGAATTTTCTGGGAGTAAAATCAAGTGAGAACAGTGCCCTTGGGGCCTTTACTGACATGAAAGTGCTTGCACAAAACATTATGAATTTAAACTGTTTCACAGAAAACATATTTTCTGTATTTACATTCTATGATTTTTAATAGAGAGATGAGGTTCTACAAAGTACTGCGCTTTTCACTGGTTTGAAAGAAAAATGTATGCAGCACCTCTCTCCCTACTCTGCCATTCTTTGCATACCCACATAGCCCTTTACAAACTTATTGGTACCATCTATGTTCTCCCACTGGTGCAACACCATTGTCTGATATGACATTACTCCCTACATGAAAAGCAGAATCAATTCAAATGCACCTGCATTCTGTAAAGGAAACTATGCTGTTTTGTTGCAACTTAAAATGTCTTTTCTTATTAGACTCTTCTGTGTTATAATCCAGAAATCATTAAAATGCAGATTTTCTCCATGCTCACCTAATTAGAACAAAGATAGTTTTCTCTAGGCTACAATGAATTATAAATACATATAATTAGTGATGCAACATGCAGAAAAGACTGATGGAACTGATCATTTGAAATCTCTATTTCTATACCATCATTCTGTCTGGGTGCCAACTCACTCAAAGAACCTCCTTTGAACATAAAGATGAACACGTTGGAATGCTTTCAAGTGTGCCCTTCTTATTCTAAACATTTGGGGGAAAAAGAACATCCTGCATGTCACATCTCAGGGAGCTGAGCAGTGCCAACGCCACTTCAGACAAAGAAGCCTAAAGTGGACAGACGTACTTAGTTTAGCTATAGGAGCTTCCTCAAAGCAGCTGTTCAGAGATCCAGTAGAATTACTATAAGTTTAGCATTGGTTTAGGAGTCTAAAGCCTTTGGGAATATATATAGTTTAAATACAGGTGTAGGGATGTATCTTAAGACCCCACTGTCATTGGGCAGCCTACTTCAATCCAGATTCTCATAGTTACTTCACCACTGAAAGCAGAAAACACCCTGAATAACTGGAAGTGATCAACAGCTTCTTTAAAGTAAAATTTCCCAAAGCAACAATTTATCAAGTGATTGTTTAACTCAAATTATACCTATTGAGTGAAGGTTGGTGTCATGTAACATTCACAGAGTTACCTGTTCTGCAGTACTCATGTGAACCATGGGGCCTTTTCCATCTTTGGTCTGACATAACTTTGTATCACTCCAGGGTAACTCCATTAAAATAAATAGTGTTTGATTGATAAATAGCTAATTACATCAGACCAGGAGGTGTATGGTCACTTTGAGGGCTGCCAACAGTATTCCCAGTACTGGTAATATTTTCATGAGTGTACACGTACCCCTGCCAAGACATGTCCTTGCTTCTGTTCTTCCCTTTCCCTGGCAATATTAGGGACTTTGGATTCTGCTAGCTCCATGCAATCTGTTAACTGAAGTATCAGGGGAGTTGCTTTATGGATAAGAGGTACTCATGCAAATATCTATTATTGCCACTTGCTATTTAGAGTGGACATGGTTAACTGTGACATGGGAAGTAAAAATCACTGGGTTTATTTCTTTTAAAGAGTGCAAACGTTCTGTGAGTATTTATAAGAATCTGTCAGTTCTATGTTTTTGTTGTTTTTTTTTTTTTTTTTTCCAAAGTGGCTACATAAGAGGCTTGGCGTTGTTGAGAATTCCTTCTATTTATGCCTTTTATGGTAATTTTTAGGGATTCTGTCTAATTTTTTTGGCTAGAGTCATGGTCAGGACTAAATTTTACATCAGCTCAGACAGATACAGAATAGAATTAAGCTAAAAGAATTCACATTATTCCTTAAACGGGAGTTGTAACTTTATTGCAATAGTCCTTGTTTTAGCTGCCAAGTATGTAGTTCTAGAGACATATCTCAATTAAAATATTACATAAAAATGGTATTTTCAACAGGTTATATCCTATCCCAGGCTGTTTATCTTATGCCAGACTGCTCTAGCAATAAAGCACCTCTTCCGAAAATTGTTTAATAAAAGATCAACACAAATCTCTGATTTTAAAGAGAAGAGAACAACTGGTTATTGCAATAGCACTACTGAAAAATGCTGATGGTTTAATCAAAACTATTACAGTAGCCTTTTCTGTATGGACTGCAAAGGTAGCCCTACTTTCTGCACTTAAACATAAAACCAGGCACTTTTGAAAGGAAAAACAGGATTGGAATCAAATTCTGTAGAAAGTAACTTGTGAAATTTATACAAGTAGCTGTGAAGTATTACCTTTCCTCCCTCTGTATAAATAATATTAATGATTTCCTGGATTAGCACACTAAACTCCCAGTGCGGTTAATTATAGACTTCTTTATTTTTATTTTGTTTTCCATAATTAGGAAAGAATTTCCTAATCCTTATGGAAATAAATGTTTCCTTAAGTAAAAACAAAGTGTAAGAAATTTTCTTGCTCCCCATCTTAACCTTTTCAACATGTACCAAAGCAGTCGGCATTGAACAGGATACCATATATCTGTCTTGCAGACATGTTGGACGGTACAGGGATCATTAGTGTATATGAGTTTTTGAATAGTTACAGCTAGTAAACGGCAAGAGAACATCAGAATTAATATGAATACTACTTAGAAAAAAACAGAAAGCATCCATGGGGCAGGTGTCTCTGTTATTACCTGGTTGGCTGCACAAACCAATTTCCCAAATACAAACATGTAGAAAAGCAAAGCTCTAAACTGTACGTTTTACAAAATGTCACATCAAACTGCGTAATGAATGATACACTCCACAGTCTTTCATGTTTTGAGGAACCTATCTGTTTTATATCATGGTGGTCTCTGTCTGCATAAACGACTGAGCCCTTGAATTCCGGTGGAGCTGAGAAACACTTTCTGATCCATTTCGAGAGATTGAAGAGCTGTGGAATCTGTAATCTCTGCCTGCTGTCTGCTTCCAGCACAAACTCCGCCATTTTCTTTTCAGCTCCCCTTGCACCTGTGTTATAAAGAAAATGCACATGAGCTGAAAATGTTCTTTTGCATGAGGAACTTTTCCATGTTTACTGGCTGTCAAGTGGTGACCTCTCGGAATAGAATAGGGACTTTTACAGACCACCTGGACCCCCCTGCCATGGACAGGGACACCTTCCACCAGGCCAGGTTGCTGAAAGCCCCATCCAACCTGATCTGGAACACTTCCAGTGACGAGGCATCCACAACTTCACTGAGCAACCTGCTTCAGTGTCTCCATCACCCTCATAGAAAAAAATTTCTTTCTTAGGTGCCATCTAAATCTACTCTCTTTGATTTTAAAACCATTACCCCTTGTCCTGTCACTACAGGCCCTCCTAAAAAAGTCTTTCTTAATCTTCCTTATAATTCCCCCTTTTTACCCTGAAAGGCTGCCATAAGGTCTCCTCACAGCCTTCTCTGCTCCAGACTGAACAACCCCACCTCTCTCAGCCTCTCTTCACAGGAGAGGTGATCCAGCCTTCTGGTAATTTTTGTGGCCCTCCTTTGGACTCACTCTAACAGGTCCATGTCATCCTTGTACTGAAGACAAACACCTCTCTCAACCTACTGGCCACGCTTCTTTTGAGGCAGAATACAATTCGCTTTCTCAGCTGCAAGCACACATTGCCAGCTCATGTCCAATTTTTCATCCTCCACTATCCCCAAGTCCTTCTCTGCTGGACTGCTCTCAATCCATTCATCCCTGTTTGTACTTATACTGGAGACTGCCCAGACCCAGGTTCAGGACCATGCACTTGGCCTTGTTGAAATTCATGAGGTTCACATGAGTCCACTCCTCAAGCCTGTCAAGGTCCCTCTGGATGGCATCCTGTTCCTCTAGAGTATCAAATCAGTTTTGAAAAAGATTACAAAACTGAGGCAAAGACTGTGTCTACACCGTCTATGAGGAGATGCTCAAAGGCCACTTTCAAAATCAGTTTTTTATCCCTTGTGCTGCAAGATTAGCTTTTGGTATCTGGCTATTAATCACATGTACTTAAAGCATAGAATCAAATTATTAGCCCAAAATCAGGTATCTCACGAATATCAAAGACCAGAAAAGCACTCAGGAGATCTGAACATCAATTCCCTGTGCAAGCAGGTGTCTTCTTCTGACAGATTCCTCCTGTCAGACACTGCATGCTGCTTAATGTATGTTCTACCTTAAAAAGCAGCTGGTATCAGGATGATTTCCTTCCATCTTCCTCAGTTGAAATCAGGAAAGCTGCTATGTGCTGTGCACTTCTGAAAGTCTGCTGCTGTTCTGGGGGTTAGATTGTGTCAGAAGATTACCCCTAAACACTTATTAAAGGGTATTTCAAGTTTTGGATAAATTTCTAGACTTGTTGCACCTCATTTGCACAATCCACATTGCTTGTAACAGACAGAGAATTAGATCATGTTAAATAACAGAATACAAGGAATCAGATTCCAAACACCTCTTAACTCTTAACCCACATACAGATTTCTCCCATTGCATAGAAACTGCCACATATGTATTCTATAAATAGGAATGCAAACATCTTCTAAAACAGCTTTATGTATTAGAGTGGAATAATAAGGGCACTTATTCATTTACTGAAAACAATATTTAACATCCTCAGTAGTAAAGGTGCGACTTACTTCACTGTTCAAAAAACAATACAGGACTGCAACAATCAACCCCTGGAAAGAGACAATATTCCTTAGTTAGTCAGCAGCAACCTAGGTCAATAAAACTTCTTTTGAATAAAAATTTTAAAATTTACCTGAAAAGATCCCAAACACAACTCAAAGATTATTTTATAATTATTGGAACTGCGGTCAGGAAATAGAGCAAACACTGTGTAGTGAACTCCAAATAACGGAATAAGCAACAATGTGGATTTTGCAAGTCTCCTGGGTAAATAAAAGAGAAAAAGCTGGAATTTAATGATAAGCTCTTGTTTTACTATGGTAAGAATCTGATGCAATGTTATTTACATAAACCTCCTATGACTTCAGATTTATAGACAGTCTTAGTAAGAGTCATTTATTGCAAATCGTTTTCCTTTCAGGCCTGCTATGAGATCAGCCACACAGTAACCTCATAAATTACCGTGTGCAATTCCATGTTATACTTGATCTTGCTGACCTTGCACTCTTCCAAAAGCTGGTAAAAGGCTGGTAAACCAAAAGACCCTCTTTCAGTTGCCCTCTGGACACCAGCAGGGTTGTAGGACCAGCTCTCTGCTTTGGCTCTGACACACATCCAGTTCCCAGCCTGGTTTCACAGCACAGTTTTTGGGAGTGGGATTTTACTGCATTGTCCCACAGGACCACATTCAACAAAGTGTCACCAGCTGCCATCAGATTTCTCAACATATCTTTTACCTGGCATAAAGGGTTCAGAGTGGAAACAAATAATGCCTTCCTGCAAAGTCATACAGACAGAACCTCTCGTATGGAAGGTAAAATCTCTCTCTTGCAATTAAATGTGCAACTTGTAATGTTAGTCTGTACATTGGACATACACAGTATGCAAACAATACCTAGGAAATGTAATCCAGAATAATCTCAACTGTGAGATTTTCACGAGCAATTTCAGATTTACCCCCAAATACTAAAATCTCATAACAACACTGACAGTATTAAGCATGTACCATTAATTAATTTTGAATGTCACCAATTACCTAATACATTTTAGCACAAGATGTTACTAAAGTTAAGGAAAGAGAATTTTAAATTACCAAGCACAGCAGCTCTGACAAACTGCTTGTGAAACCACTGAAATGATGAATTGCTAATTACCACTTATCTGCCACTTATTTCACTTGACTAACATTAGTTCTCTATATTATACAGGGACAGTCGTACATGATTACAGATGTCTGGTATCAGATTAAAATTCAAGAAGTTAGAATCATAGAATGGTTTGGGTTGGAAGGGACCTTAAAGATCATCTAGTTCCAACCCCCCTGCCATCAGCAGGGACACCTTCCACTAGATCAGGTTGCTCAAAGCTTCATCTAACCTGGCCTGGAACACCTCCAGGGAGGGGGCATCCACAACTTCCTTGGGCAATCTGTTCCAGTGTAAAGAATTTCTTCCCAATATGTAATCTAAACCTACTCTCTTCCAGTTTAAAACCATTTCCCCTTGTTCTATCACTACCTGCCTTTGTAAAAAGTCCCTCCCCAGCTTTCTTGTAGCCCCTTCAGGTACTGGAAGGCCACCATAAGGTCTCCCTGGAGCTTTCTCTTCTCCAGGCTGAACAGCCCCAACTCTCTCAGCCTCTCCTCATAGGAGAGGTGCTCCAGCCCTTGGATCATCCTTGTGGTCTCCTCTGCACTCATTCTAACAGGTCCATGTCTTTCTTCTGTTGGGGGCTCCAGAACTGGATGCAGTACTCCAGGTGGGGCCTCACAACAGTTATAATGTTGAGTTCCATAATTCATCACTGTCTTGATGAATATTACTTAATTCAACAATAACAGAGTGCTGTTGTGATTTCACTTATTTTAACAGAAAAGTCAAGGTATTTCAAGGAGTTTTATTTTTTCTGTGACAGTCTTTACAGTCTTCCTTTGTTCACAAAGTCCTGGAGGCTGCATCTGTTTATGTAGAAATAATAATTTCTGACAACAAGAATTCTCAAGAATAGTAAAACTCTCACATCTAAAGGCGATACCAGTAAGTGGGACAAAGAGGATTTCCTTGGCAGAAAAAATTAATTTACAACTGGAGGAGATGACAATGGCAGCAAATTTCCTGATTTCCCAAATGAAACATAAAACTGATTTTATTTGAACTTAACCTCACCCACTGCAAAAGTAAAATGAGCAACAAAAAGAATGGAACCAGGTACAAGCAAGTGGGACAGAGGAAGAGGAAAAAAAAGGTGACTTGCTTATGTTGTATTCATTTTAGACTCATATTTCACTTTCACTCCATTCTTGTTTTAATAAATTTTGTCTAGCCGATGTTACTTTCCCTAAATTGCACTTGCATTTTAGTGAAGGAAAAGGACAGAAAAAACAGTCTTAATCTTCTCTGTATTTTAGAAAATGTATTTGCATTTTGAAAAACCAGTCTGCCAGACCTTTAATTTGCTCTGTAGATGCAGTATTTCTTGAAGACATTAATCTACTGTTCCCATGGGTATTGGTTAAAGACCATCCAATCCAAACTTAATCAAGCAATCAAATGCTAAAAGCAAAGAATTCACAGGGCTGAATAATGAAGGACAAGGTTGCTCTTAATGAACATTTTATACTATGAAGTAAACATGGAAAATTATGGGACTGATAGGAAGGGAATGCCTCATTTTCATAAAATACATAAATACCACATGGAATTATAGAATAGTTCCTGTTACAAGAAGTAAACTTGAAGGAATTTCCTGCCCATAGGCCATTCACTGTGCTGACCAAAAATGTGGCAACTGCATAATTTCATTTAGGTTGATTTGCCTCTCCCACATTTAGTTAATTCAAGCAGCAAACAGAAAAATGTACCCTTGTAGCTCTATGAAGCCAGGCCTTATGTCAATCTAGTAATGTCTTTTCTGTGGTGCATCAGAATTCTTAACTTTTTGCATCAAATGTGTCACATTGTTTACAAAACACATAAGGTCGTAGTTCTCTTGGCTTTAAAGATATGCTTTATTTTAGCACACTATGTTTTATCTCCTTTTAGGACAGGAATTCAGTATTTGTAAAATGAAGAAAAGTTGTTATTCAGAGCACATTTTCAAAGGCCACTTGTATGGCCTTCAAATTTTCAGTGTTCATGTTCGGTTTTGTCACTGGAGGAACATACTAACATCCTGAAGTGTCAAACTCAGGTTCTATATCTGGGCTTTAAAACAAGACCTACTACAATAGACTATTGATTCTGGATTACAGTATCCAGCAGCTATTATAACAACAACTGATGGAAATATAATAAAAAACAAATCAAATTTTAGCAATGTATTTCCACTGCCCCCCAACATTCCTTGATTCTAAAGCTGTGGAAACAATGGATGTTAGGATTTGATGTTCAAACCAAAACACAAAAAAAAGAAAGCCTAAAGAGAAAGGAAGTTGATCTAAATCAGAAACACTTGTTTTAATCTAGAAAAATAAAGATGCTCTTTTAAATCAACATAAAATGTTATATTTCATTTTTTACTTTTTGGGAACACCACAATTTATTTCCAGCTCTTAAAATATATGTAAATATTACAACAAAAAGTATTTCAGAAATGATAAATTAAAAAAATGTTTTTAAGGAGGATGAAGCAAAGTGTTTTGATCTTGAATTTTTTTGTAATGTCAAAATGAAATATTTATATATTAAAAGAATAATTACCATATTTTTTGTATCAGCATATTCATTCATGGATTAAACTCCAAATTCAAAATGGCTTGTTGGTCTTTTTGAAACTGTCTATTTTTTATTGAATTTGGTGTTTGACAAAAAAATATGTTAATCTTTATTTCATCATAGTGTTAAGATCTTTATTATATCACATCTAGAAGTACTTCTGAATTAAATGTAATTATAGTATCACAGCAATTGTTGGTAGCAGGTTTCAGAAGAGGAAATCTTACAGAGATTTTGGTTCTGTACATAGTATCTAAAAATATGACTCACTTGTACTGTGACTGGTCATTTCCTCCAACATCTGGAGATCTTAACTTCTGCAGTAAGATTCTTATAATGCTAATGAAAAGTATAAAATTCACCTGCAAATAAAACAAATATAATAGTGATTTCTGACTTCTCCACTCAATACGCAGCACAAATAAATGTTTATCAAGTTAGACAAATCAACTCAGCAGTGGGTGTTGTGTACCCCCTGCCAGAACACATCAAGTTCTGCACTGTAAAACCTATTGTCTGTTTTCTGCCTCACACTGGCACATCCAGCACACCTCTGCATGGCCACCAGTTCTAGTCTTGCTGGCAAAAGCCTTTGAAAGCTCCAGTTGTCATCAACGGCCTCCTTCCAAAATCTCAGCTGACAACAGATTTCCTAGCAGAATGGGACACTGGATATGATTTGGTGCAATCATGCATCATCCTAAATTGTGATGTGGATTCATGACTGGAAGCCCAAAGGAAAATGTGAGTCCCATACACAGTTTTGATCCTCTCTTACCTCTTGCCTTGACTTTTAATATTTTTTGTCTGAATTAAGGGAAGATTGCTGCACAGGTGATCTGTCCACTCTCATCAAGCATGGAAAGAGCCTTTCACAAGTATCTCTCTTGGATATTGATACAGACATTATCACTAAAGCAACTGAATACTTGCAGTCTAACATTTTATGCTTGTAACAGCCCTCCAAGTCAGAACAGCAGTATTATCTTACTTCATAGAGAGGGAATGGAAGCACTTGCATTAAAAAACTATGATCAGACCCTGATAAATCTACTAAATTGAAGTATAAAACTCAGTAGATTCTAAATCTCACACCCATTATCTCTTCATGCTTGGCTTTTGGCATCTTGTGTTCACCCGCTGTTCTGGTGCTGGATTGTTTGGTGCAGTCTAGAAAATGGCACATTAAATATGGCATGTCTGTACTAAAGTAAGGGAACACTGAATCCACACCTTCATAGCAACAGTGTGAGCTAAAAGCCACAGCTACGTGAACAGTTGCATCAAATGCACACATTTTAGAAGAAATTGATCTAGAGAGAAATTTCTACCACTGTGAAAATGAGCATTTTATTATTTCTAACTAACCTCAGCCTAAAGCCCAAAATCAGGAGGTTGGGTACCCAACCAGACAGTGCCTGCCTCACTGCTATAAACCTTCCGTCTCTCTCTGCCTTGATGTATAGCTGGAACTCCTCTTTTTCCAGTATTAACAATTTGGCTGTAAGCTTTTCACGTTCAATGAACTGTGTCTTCTCTGAAACACCCAGTACAATTTGTGATGTTACTAAATAAACTATGATCATAACAACCACATGCCTCTCTCTGTGTTTAATATTTTGTTTGAAATGACAGATGAAGGGAAGTGACAGGAACTGACAGGGATTAAATAAAAAATAAGGAAAATTAAATCCCATATTTTTTAATAAAGAAGAATAAAAAATAAGTTTTATAAAATATAGGCCTTTACTGAAGTAAATATACATTTTTCAAGCAGATGACAAATTTGAAGTTTTCCTTGATGCAAGTCTTCTGTAAAAGTAACAAGCAGAAGCCGGTCAGTATTCTTTCTGATTGCATCCACTGACTTACCACAGCAGAGTATACAGACCAAGGGATATACATTTAGTCTGTCATATGCACCAGAGCCAGTGTTACTGGACAATGAAAGAACATCCATGTCATTGTGTATTTGTTAGCCACAAAATATGAGAAGGAAAAAATCTTTGTTCTGTATTTGCAAAGGGACTGGCAGAATAACTTAATGTTCTTCACAGGCATCCCTAGATTCTACTATAACAGAATAAACAGTCATCCATTTGGTTTCTGAGGCACCAAATCATCTGCAAAACTACACTCGGGTGACTCACGCTCTTGATTGATACTCATCTATTACTTTTAAGTCTGTTTTCAAACACATCTCCTTCTGTCTGTGAGGATCATCTAAGGATGGCAACTGCCATTGAGCAAATGAATTTCTGTAAGGTTATTATTGAATTGATCATTTGCTATAATTCTTTAAAGTATATATCCGATTTAGAATAGTATGTTTCAATAAAATATGAAACAAGCAGTACCCTGGAATTTTATTTTTAGTATTGTAGCTTTTCAGTGCCATAAAAGCATTTGAGCATGTCTTTAAATAGAATAGAATACGTATATAATTTAATTAATATCTAAGAACAGTAAAATGGGAAAATAATGTGAATGCAGAGGAACTGCAAGAAAGCGATGACAAATGATGCCTCTTCACTGGAGTAACAGCTAAATGCTGTTGATATCCTTTTCTACTGGCTGACTTCTTAATGTAAGTTTTTAAGTCTAAACACATTGCCTCAGCATGCATCATTTAAACTGTCTTCATGTTGTTCCTTTTTTGCTATTTAGCACCTTATACTACCTGTAATTTGAGATACCTAGATAAGCAATTCTCAGTTACTTTGATGTGACAGAGGAACTGTTTCCACCTGAACACCACTCCTCACATGAGAGTAGTTTATGCAAGTGGAACTATGGAGAAGGCATCTGAGGCAGAATTTGCCCAACAGAGAACATAAGTGGTACACCAAATGAACAGTTTGGAATAAGCAATAAGCACCTCCAATTAAACAACTCTGAAATGTGTACAGCATGAAGTATGTAAGCCTGTCAAATAACTTCTCTCAAGCCAAAATTGTCAGGAGTAGATGCCAGTGAAGACTTTGGACACTAAATTAACTGAAGCCATTCCCACTTTGACAAGTGACTTCTCTCACAATACTATTTACTGTTGGTAAATAAACTTATAGAAAGTATAATCTTCTAAGCAGCGAAAATGTTTGGAGTTAACACAGAAATCAATGGAAGAGAATGAATATGGCATGAAGACTGAGCAGTCTTCCTGTTAAATCTAATGCGGTTAAACCATTATTTCTTAAAACCTTTGTTTGATTTCCTCCTTCTTTCAAAAGTATATTCATGGCATCATCTTCACAATCAGGCTCTATTCTACTCTTCTTTTCTTCACTCTTCTTCCTCCTCTTAAAGATTTTTCAATACCAGCCATACTCTGGGCTTCCTTTCTTGCCACTACATAAGACAGTTGATGAGAGTTCTCAGCTTAGGCGTTCCACTCTCCTTTTTCCTGAAATTCAGGTTCTTTCAGAGTTTTCCTGTGCTCACCCCACTGACTACTTACACAGATGTCCTTCCTACTACTGAAGCCATTTGTTATTGCTGGTCATCCTTGTCACCATTCTCTGTAAGTCTTCCAGTTTTCTTACATTCTTAAGCAGATTGAAGGCACCGCATGAGTATGATGTAAATATATCATACTTGTACTGAGAAACATCATGACTCTTTCACAACACCTATCCAAAGAACTTGCAATGATCTGTTTTCATTGTTGAATGGCAGGCAGCACTGACCTCATTAATCAAAGATTTGAATCTTCAACTTGAATTTTTTTCTAGAAGGTAACAGGAAATGGTGAGACTTACCACGGTGTATGTATATTGAAAATTGTGTTCTCATGAATGTAGCATTTTTCACTCATCAATGACCAATTTTACATGACATTTCATTAGCTCCTCTTGCTCTATGAATCCATGCACTACTTTGCACAGCAGTAAGTTTGCATAGCATCCTAGCTGCCACAGTGAATGCACAATGAATTGTAGTCCAATGCTCCAACAAGATATGCTACTTATCCAGCAGGAAAGGGTGAGTATCACTGCTTTTATAACTCCCTTTCACAGCTTAACTTCCCAAATGCAAAATGTAGTTGATCAAACAGCTGAAGAATCATCTAATTGGAGAAGGAAGTGGCTTCACACAGTACACACTGCAGAATCGCTTGGCCATCTTTAGTTGCTCTCATCCCTAAAACATGCTGTTTAGGAGAGGAAACATATCTGGAAGGAGACAGCAGATCTTAAATATGTGCACTTGGCAAGCCAAAAAAGGTAATTTGCAAAATGTTTCCCTATGTCTTATAATCCCTTTGTATCAATTCAGTAACAGAACCATTTTAAAAAAAAAAAAAGGACGACTGTTCCTTTGCCTCCAACAGTGATTCTGGTCCACATTTTATGATCTACTGGACTTTTGCTGACTTACTAGTAATCCATTTTCTCAACTCTCAACTCATTTCCCAGTGTTTGCTAAGATCCAGCTGCAATCCAAGTCTGGCAATGAGCACTTGGATGACTTTTGTTTCCAGGTCTAGGCCTTCTTTGGAAAAGCACTGCTTTCTGGCACATGAAGTCTCAGCTGTCTACCAGACAGTTTAAATTGAACATCCAGAGAATATACTTTAATCTTTCTGTAAACACCAGGTGGTTTGTTTTGCTTTTATCTTTCACCATATTTTCTCCACTCTGGACCGTCCCCCATTCTCCAGCTCCTTTGAGGTACATGGATTCTCATCATGCTGTAGTTCTGTTCCATGCCCATTTCTTCATATCATAAAACATCTTTTCTGTGATTCCTTACCTTATGTCATTCCACACATAGGCCTACCCTCCTTTCTCTTTAAACACCGTATAACTCACTCTGATGAAGGTGACAGGAAGTTCTCTCAAAATTATTTTCAGGAGGCACAGATTGAAAGGCAAGGCCAAGTGTAATGTGGACTCTTGAAATCTTGTGTAATCTAATAATGCTCTAACTTTTCTAACTAAAATATTAAAAATAAAGCAAATGTATCTGAAATGAATTAATTTGTACTGTGACTGGTTTCAGAAATGGACATGTACCCATAGTATATTATGCCCAAAGTTAATTACATAATCACCACAGTGATCAGGAATTTTATAATGCTATTCCCATAATTCTAATGAGTTCCACACAGGAAAATCCCCATGAAACATTCTCAAATGGTATTCTTTTGCAAATACTTCACGTTCAATATATATTTCAATAGGCTACCAATTAAAGAAAGATATACACAGCCATCGTTTTTTATGGCTGCAATAATATCAGAGTCTCAATTGCAGGTTGATCTATTTACACGCAAAATCAAATCTGCAATTCATTGAAAAGTATAATTAGATTTTAGTTTCCCCCAGGCTCATAAACAGGAGAGATGTTAAAGAAAGAACAACATACAAATAAAAACAACTGCTCATTTAATAAGAGGCAGATAAATTTTGAAGGCAACAAATTTTAATGGCTTTGGCATCTGTTTAACTTTTCTCCTACAGTGCAATTTCTTTTCATTAAAACAGAATTCTTGCCTATCCGTAACTAGCAGTAAAGAATAATGGCTACATGCACTGCACAATGCTGAACTGATCTATAATTCATGCTTCAATGTTTACTTACTATAATAGAAATTAAAATTGGTATTCGTATAACCCACCAGGGACCACCATGCTCATTTGTATCCCAGCAACTATAAAAAAAACAGATGGAAAATGATGTTGACATTAATATCATCTGGCAAGCAAGACCTATGAGGAGAAGTATTTCTTATATACAAGTCAAAGCACACTAAAATAATGCCTGTTCTAGCCTAGAATTTGGCATTCAATCTTTTTCTACTTCTAATTTTATTTCCCTGGTTTTAATATGCATATTCAAATCAGCTAAAACATCAGGCACACTAGACTGTACCATTAGACATCATGGAGGATGTTGGCCTTTAGGGAAACCAAGCTTAGTTTCACTTTGTGTAAGGACACTTTTCCCAAAAGCACTTAGCACCAGCCCCTGGGTAACAGGAAGATCTAAAGCAACTGACGGATACAATTGAAATGCCATAATTCCTTGTGGGATATTTAGGTTGCTGGAACTGGTTTAGGAAAATGTGAGAATGAACCTAAAACTTTGTCTGAAAACCTGAAAATTTAGTTTTCAGTGGGCTCAGCACTTTTGGTTCAAATACTCTCAGAATAAGTGCTCTGAAAGATTAATCTTAAGCAACAGTAATACCTTTCAGAGTTCCTCTAACTGTGACCATAATGACAAAGGAAAAAGGAATTAGCCTTCCGTTCACCTGTTAGAGGTCTTGCAAAGAAAACTTAGAAATAATGTAGGACATGATTTTTCAGTTTAATTACGGAATCAATTGAAAAATATTACTCAGGCTAAAAAAAACGAGTGTGAAAACTCTTTGTCCCACTAGCTAGGAATGCTTTCCTATTCCTTGTAGCCAGCAGGAGCAGCAAGTCTGATTTCCTACAAAATTCTTATCTCAGTTACATCACATTGCTTCACTTCTGGGAATGCAATTGAGATCTACCCAAAGTTACTTAGATTTGAGTCTTTTGAGTTGCTAGTTAGCAAATTAGAATGCCCAGCCTCTTACTGCACTGTATTGCAGCACTGAACCCAAGGACCCCCACTGGTATTTTAAGTATTAGTTTGACTTCCAAAGCAGATAGCTCTAAATGTAGGTCTCAAGAGGTAACATTAGTCATGACCTATCTCTGCCCCCTCCTGCCCTTAGAGTTTTTCAAATGAACAGTAAGCACAAACAGCACGATGAAGAGCTCCTAAACATCTGTTCCTTTACTGACATATCTGAAATTTCAGTTCTGTCCTCGTACCCTTCAGAACAGCAAACTACTTTGTGCAAACGCCACCATATCCAAGGCAGGGACTGTCCTTGCACATTTGGAGGCTTTAAGTTTTCTCTCCCACACACTTACCCAGTATCCTCTAAAATGATCCGTGTCACTGTCCATGTAATAATGAATATGGTAGGAATTCCTGAAAATCCCAAAGAGGTTTAGAGGATGATCACAAAAATGTAAGTTCACAAAAAAAATTGGTAGTAACCAATTATTTCCCAAATATACAGCATATAGTAAACAGTTTAGGGAATGGAAGGAAAGGCCCTACTGATGAGTTATGTGATGTAAGCAATGACAAACAAAGACTGCAGAGAAGTGGGTTTATTTCTTATAAAAATGCAGCCATAATGACTAATACACAAAGACCATGCCTTTCTTAGGTTTCTTTCAAGCTGTCAGAGTGACCTACAGGGAGACAGATACAAGTTATGCAATCCCAATACACTTCCAAGGACTACAATATAAAAACAAAGTGTAAATCATTTCATAAGGAATGATTCCCACTCCCTGGTTTATTCCCATTTCCCAGCAATACCTAAATGTTTTACGACCACCTACTACTGCAAGCTTTAAAGTGCTCCACATAAATATCATTGCACTTTCTGGAAATGAAAGGAATACATGGACAATATTATTGGGCATTTCAAAAAGGCAAATAGCATAGCTTGGGGTTGTGCAGCTAAACTGTCTTTTTCCTCTCAAATTAGGACAGTGTGAATCATAGGTTTTGTGGTGGCAGTACTTGCACCATCCTATAGCCTGAAAAACCCCTGGGCATTGTGCAGACTGGCACAGGTCAGAGCAATGCCAAAGAGCAACCCAGCAGTTATGCCTCAGCAGTTTTGTGCCCGCTCTCTCCCATGGTACAGAGGTTGTAACTCGTGCTGGAGCTGAATTGAAGAACGTGAGTCTGAGTCATACAACAGAAACAGTATGACTACCATGGTATGAAATACTGAACCTGACTAATATATACATACAGGAAAATAATATTATTGGAAGATGTTTAAGTTCTTACCCCATCCAATCAGCAGGTAGACTGTGAAGTGTCTGTTGGGGGAGAATATCAGCACAAGGAGGATGTGGAGGTAAAGTCCTTCAACTAAGAGCCAGTAAAAGTTTGCCATAACACCATACTGAAAAAACACCAAAATAGCCTTGCAGCCCACCTGAAATATGAGAATAGCAATCAAAGTTGTTGCAAATGCTGTATTATTCTGTTATTAATATATCCTATAGGTCTTAACTCTCCATGTAATACTAGTAACCCAGGTCCAGTGAATTTTTTTTTCCTTCAGTCAAGTAAATTGAGCAGAAAATGAATTATAAAAAAATTATTTAGATGGCACTCATGGCAAATTTGCTCAGAAATTTTGAAAACTTCATAGCACAAATATTGTAAAAGGTAATGGTTATCAATAAATGCACTTATTTGCAATAGTTAATGAATGGCTATTAGATTAGATGATCATCTATGAGGTGGCTAATAAATATATTAAAATCCCAGCTGGCTTCCTAACAGTAAAAATTAACAAAGAAACCGCTTTATGAATTTTTCAAGTTTAAATGGGAAACTGAGTGAAATATGTAACTTTACATGATGAATACATTAAGTAGACTTAGAAGGAAAAGTTGAATGGACTTTTAAAAATTATGTTTTCCCTTTAGAAAATGCTTTAGTGTTTCTTAATGATTAAGAGAGCGGAACATCTCCCTTCTGAGGAAAGACTGAGGGAGCTGGGTCTCTTTAGCTTGGAGAAGAGGAGACTGAGGGGTGACCTCATTAATGTTTATAAATATGTTAAGGGCGAATGTCAGGAAGATGGAGCCAGGCTCTTCTCAGTGATGTCCAATGGTAGGACAAGGGGCAGTGGGTGCAAGCTGGAGCATAGGAGGTTCCACATAAACATAAGGAAAAACTTTTTCACTGTGAGAGTGACAGGACACTGGAGCAGGTCACACAGAGGTTGTGGAGCCTCCACAGAGAGGTTGTGGAGTCTCCTTCTCTGGAGACATTCAAAACCAGCCTGGAAGCAGTCCTGTGTGACCTACTGTAGGTGATCCTGCTCTGGCAGGGGGGTTGGACTAGGAGATCTTCTGAGGTCCCTTCCAATCCTTAACATTCTGTGATTAATTAACAAAACACAGAAGCATGTATCATAAAATGAAGTTCCAAAATACTTATAATCTGTGTACTGCTCTTCAGAATTAAATTTCAGATGTCTGTGCTGATGATGTTCCACAG